GGGTTCAAATCCCGGCCGAGAATTTTTTTTATTTTTTGTTTTCTACATACAAAGTCGGCCCAAAATAACTAGCTATCACATAACCTATTTGTAGATTTATTTGTAACTAGTTATTTCGCAAAGTTTTTGTAATCAAATTAGTAACCATTTATTAATTTGTTCTAGTTCAGTTCTAGTTCAGTTCTAGTTCAGTTCTAGTTCTAGTTCAGTTCTAGTTCAGTTCTAGTTCAGTTCTATTTCAGTTCTAGTTCAGTTCTAGTTCAGTTCTAGTTCAGTTCTAGTTCAGTTCTAGTTCAGTTCTAGTTCAGTTCTAGTTCAGTTCTAGTTCAGTTCTAGTTCTAGTTCAGTTCTAGTTCAGTTCTAGTTAGTTCTATTTCAGTTCTAGTTCAGTTCTAGTTCAGTTCTAGTTCAGTTCTAGTTCAGTTCTAGTTCAGTTCTAGTTCAGTTCTAGTTCAGTTCTAGTTCAGTTCTAGTTCAGTTCTAGTTCAGTTCTAGTTCACTTCTAGTTCAGTTCTAGTTCAGTTCTAGTTCAGTTCTAGTTCAGTTCTAGTTCAGTTCTAGTTCAGTTCTAGTTCAGTTCTAGTTCAGTTCTAGTTCAGTTCTAGTTCAGTTCTAGTTCAGTTCTAGTTCAGTTCTAGTTCAGTTCTAGTTCAGTTCTAGTTCAGTTCTAGTTCAGTTCTAGTTCAGTTCTAGTTCAGTTCTAGTTCAGTTCTAGTTCAGTTCTAGTTCAGTTCTAGTTCAGTTCTAGTTCAGTTCTAGTTCAGTTCTAGTTCAGTTCTAGTTCAGTTCTAGTTCAGTTCTAGTTCAGTTCTAGTTCAGTTCTAGTTCAGTTCTAGTTCAAGTTCAGTTCAGTTCAGTGAAACCAAATTATTCACTTTAGATATTAGTTCCAAAGAAATATAAATTAAGATAGTTAATTATTTTTAAAACAATTTAATATAAAAACAGCTGTTCAAAAACATCTAAAATATATTTAATATAAAATTTTAAAGAAATTTTAAGTATAAACACAATAATATTAGCAAATAAAATAAAAACAAAAACATGTTGAAGTTAAACCACGCGAATAACAAAAAAATCATCTGGCAAAAAAACAACGACAAAAAACGCAAAAAATAAGAAATTTTAAAATGTCAAATACTTAAGAGCATGCGGTAAAAAACTGACTAAATACAAAACATATACAAAATAAAGATTTCAGCGGCGCAGCCACCCCCAAAAGGCTACAAAAGCTGAAAATGGTGACATACATAAAACAAATGGAAATATATATATGTATATATGCTATTTCTGATTAATTTTAAAACTAAAATACACAATTTATTTTATTTTTATGGTTAGCTATTTCTATCGAAACACATAAAAACCAAAAACAAGAAAATCAAAGTCTATTGAAAAATTTTATAAAATTGACGTTTTCAAATAATGCTCGTTTTCGTATGTACCGGCCGTAAGCTTTTAATAGTTCTTGTTGCTGATGTTATTTATTTTCTTTTCAATGTGAGAGTGAAATTGTTTATGTTTTGTTTTGGCTTTTTATTTTGTTTAATTTACCAATTCAATTTTATTGCCATTATGTGTAGTTAGATTACATTTAAATTGGCCACCAATTTATAGCCTCCGTTTCATGTTAAATTTTGAATAGTTATTACTTTTGTGTTGATTGCTAACATTGCTACTGTAGTAGTAGACTTATTTTTTATTTACATTTATTTGTGTACAATTAAACACAAATTGTATAAAATGAAAATTAAATAAATTGGTTTACAATTAGTGCTTAGTTTAGTGTAAATAGTCGATTACTTATTATGCCGCGAGTTTAGAAAATTTACGGTGTAAAAAGAAAGAAAAAACTGTATAAATCACACACATATGAACGAGGTAAAAATACTTTTACATTTTTGATATTTTTCCTATGAGTGATTATATAAAAAATTATTTTTTGTCTTTACGTTATGTTCTTTAATTTTCCAGAACTAACTTCAATTTACTATCAAACAAATTTTTAAAAATTTTGAATTCCATACAATTTTTTTCGATAACATTCTGTCAATTACTAAAATTTTCATCACATTATCTGTTGCATGAAAAAAAAACACCTTTCGCAAAAATCCTTTAAATTTAAAATCTCAGTTAAATACATATATGGAAATGCAAAGAAAAAAATATTGTGAAAAATATTAAAAGCAAAATAAAATAATCATCATAATCCGTTTAAAATTCCCCAAACACCACAAATACCCCCATAATGCTATGTTGTACAATACAACAGTAATTCCTTTAAGAGTTACATAATAATATATTCCCCAGTAGCTTTTCACGGAATCAATGTGCCCTTTTAAAATTTTTTTTCTCATCCACTAGTTCAGTTCTAGTTCAGTTCTAGTTCAGTTCTAGTTCAGTTCTAGTTCAGTTCTAGTTCAGTTCTAGTTCAGTTCTAGTTCAGTTCTAGTTCAGTTCTAGTTCAGTTCTAGTTCAGTTCTAGTTCAGTTCTAGTTCAGTTCTAGTTCAGTTCTAGTTCAGTTCTAGTTCAGTTCTAGTTCAGTTCTAGTTCAGTTCTAGTTCAGTTCTAGTTCAGTTCTAGTTCAGTTCTAGTTCAGTTCTAGTTCAGTTCTAGTTCAGTTCTAGTTCAGTTCTAGTTCAGTTCTAGTTCAGTTCTAGTTCAGTTCTAGTTCAGTTCTAGTTCAGTTCTAGTTCAGTTCTAGTTCAGTTCTAGTTCAGTTCTAGTTCAGTTCTAGTTCAGTTCTAGTTCAGTTCTAGTTCAGTTCTAGTTCAGTTCTAGTTCAGTTCTAGTTCAGTTCTAGTTCAGTTCTAGTTCAGTTCTAGTTCAGTTCTAGTTCAGTTCTAGTTCAGTTCTAGTTCAGTTCTAGTTCAGTTCTAGTTCAGTTCTAGTTCAGTTCTAGTTCAGTTCTAGTTCAGTTCTAGTTCAGTTCTAGTTCAGTTCTAGTTCAGTTTAGTTCAGTTCTAGTTCAGTTCTAGTTCAGTTCTAGTTCAGTCTAGTTCAGTTCTAGTTCAGTTCTAGTCAGTCTAGTTCAGTTCTAGTTCAGTTCTAGTTCAGTTCTAGTTCAGTTCAGTTCAGTTCTAGTTCAGTTCTAGTGTCAGTTCTAGTTCAGTTCTAGTTGTCAGTTCTAGTCAGTTTAGTTCAGTTCTAGTTCAGTTCTTCGTCAGTTCTTAGTTCAGTTCTAGTCAGTTCTAGTTCATTCTAGTTCAGTTCTAGTTCAGTTCTAGTTAGTTCTAGTTCAGTGTTCTAGTTCAGTTCTAGTTCAGTTCTAGTTTCAGTTCTAGTTCAGTTCTTAGTTCAGTTCTAGTTCAGTTCTAGTTCAGTTCTAGTTCAGTTCTAGTTCAGTTCTAGTTCAGTTCTAGTTCAGTTCTAGTTCAGTTCTAGTTCAGTTCTAGTTCAGTTCTAGTTCAGTTCTAGTTCAGTTCTAGTTCAGTTCTAGTTCAGTTCTAGTTCAGTTCTAGTTCAAGTTCAGTTCTAGTTCAGTTCTAGTTCAGTTCTAGTTCAGTTCTAGTTCAGTTCTAGTTCAGTTCTGGTTCAGTTCTAGTTCAGTTCTAGTTCAGTTCTAGTTCAGTTCTAGTTCAGTTCTAGTTCAGTTCTAGTTCAGTTCTAGTTCAGTTCTAGTTCAGTTCTAGTTCAGTTCTAGTTCAGTTCTAGTTCAGTTCTAGTTCAGTTCTAGTTCAGTTCTAGTTCAGTTCTAGTTCAGTTCTAGTTCAGTTCTAGTTCAGTTCTAGTTCAGTTCTAGTTCAGTTCTAGTTCAGTTCTAGTTCAGTTCTAGTTCAGTTCTAGTTCAGTTCTAGTTCAGTTCTAGTTCAGTTCTAGTTCAGTTCTAGTTCAGTTCTAGTTCAGTTCTAGTTCAGTTCTAGTTCAGTTCTAGTTCAGTTCTAGTTCAGTTCTAGTTCAGTTCTAGTTCAGTTCTAGTTCAGTTCTAGTTCAGTTCTAGTTCAGTTCTAGTTCAGTTCTAGTTCAGTTCTAGTTCAGTTCTAGTTCAGTTCTAGTTCAGTTCTAGTTCAGTTCTAGTTCAGTTCTAGTTCAGTTCTAGTTCAGTTCTAGTTCAGTTCTAGTTCAGTTCTGGTACAGTGCCAAATCAGTTTAAAACTGAATTAATTCGTAATATTCTACAAAAGCATTATTTCAGGACAGTCACTACGAATTGCAGGATTTGTGTTTGCAAGACCATCCTATAAATTGTTGTATTTCCACTAAAAAGGAAAAACTGCTTCCCAAAGGTGTTACAAAATGGAATTGTAAAATAAACAACAACAATGAAATAAATTTATAAAGTCATTCATTTGCTTTACAAGAAAAAAAAAATCACTAAATCAAATGGGTATGTCCAATATGACTGGACAAAATTTTTGTTTTTCACAAAGTTAGCAGGTGTTTTAACATGCTTTATTAGAGCGTGATTTTTTGACAGACTGTTAATCTTTTTGTTTACGTTTATTTTGAGGGGTCAACTGTAGAGGTAAATTTTATTGTGAAAATTTTTGATACTGAATAGTATATTTTTCCTTTATTTTGCTTTAGTGGTAACAACAATTGCTGAACTGTTATGACACAAAACATTACAAATATTTGTATACGATTAAAAAACGATATTACTTGATCATAAAATTGGGATTACATACAGCAAAATCGTGAATAACCATTTACATGTGTTACCTAGTCTTTAAAAATCCTGATATTGTAGTCAACTCGTATGTTTTGTGCAATCAGTTTTATACTTAGTCCAGTTAGTAAAAAAGTAAAATACAAAATTCATAGTAAAACCCTTTTAAGTAATACTTTCGCTTTATTTGTTGGTTTGCTCGTCGTCCACTTTTTATACAAAATCTTGTGAGTATTATTGATTTGAGAATTATTGGTTATCAGTGCTTAGACATGCTTTACAGGCTAACAGTCAGTAAGCCATGATGGTTGGTTGATGTATTATGGAGAGTATGTATGTAAATATTTACAGTAAAGATAAATTTTAGTACTTTTTTTTACTAATTATTACTTTTTATTTAATCGAAAAACATATACATACTCTTGCTAGGACATTTAATCTTCTATTCAACTTCTGCTGCAGGAGTTGTTACAACGCCGATGTCCTTCAAGTATGTAGTTCCTTAGTAGACTGCCACATTAATCCAATATATTTCTTCCCACTGTAATGCTGGTAAAGAAAAAACAACCAGTTTTTTTCATTTTCAAAATGAAATCGAACAACTCATAGGAGAATATAAAGTAAATACTTTGAAAAATATTACATTTACGGCAGATTAGCTACATAGCTTTTTAAATATTTATGTACATATGTGTTAGGAAATATTTTGCTTGTGGGTTATACATTTATTAATATAATTGGGCATCGGCAAAAAAATATAAGGAAATACTTAGAATTAGCACTTTATTATAACATTTAAGAATGTCGGACACATGTCGAAATGTGAAACAGGAAACACAATATTTGGTATTGTGGATTTTTATGATTTAAAGTAATAATATATTTTGCTTTGATTTAATATTTTATTCACAGTTTTATTTTTGACTCTTTTTTATTGTTTCAGCTTATTACATAAATTTGAACTATTTAAAAAAACTACTTATGTTTGTGCTACCTTCATTTACCCAAACTGCTAGTGATTACATCGGCCATATACGCTTCTTTTCAAACAATCGATCCATTATTTCACTTTACTTCCATACAACCGTACCGTAATAGTGCATTCGAAATTTTGAAGCATTAAATGGTTTAGTATCTCTTCAAAAACCGCTACAACACCGTACCACAGTAGAAGTGCTTAGGTTTGACGGTCTAGAAAAATTGATGTCTTTGGGCCAAGGAGTATGTGGTAAATTTAATAATATTTCATATATTAACAAATAGGAACGTTTAGTCTGGCATGGCAGACAATATGATACCCCTCACCAGTGGGGATGTTAAAAATGAGGTTTATTTTTCTAATAATAAATATAATATATTCCGAAATATTTTAACAATTTGTTGTCAAAAAAATGAATATTCTGAAAGAGGGGTTATGTGGGGAATAAGGTAAATATGCCCCTATACGTATAAATTTTGGTAAAGCGATTTACGATGACATTAAAGTTATTTATGCAAAATTCCATTGCGATATTAGTTTTAAAGGCCAATTGTAAACTTTAACTAAATATCTGAAGGAGACTTTGTATGGGGGCTAGGATCAAATGATTCCCGATCATTGCGAAAATTGGCGATATCATTTAAACTTATATGAAACCAAGATTTGCAGATGTTTCTATACATTCTACAACATTTAACATAGGCGAGGCAAAATAATTGCTCGATTTCAACCATTTTCAATAGCGTTGGTCAAAAGAAGTGTATGCGTAATGTGTGTTCCAATTTTCATCAAAATTCATTATATTAAAAATCGACAAGCACAAGATTTACATGGCCACATAGACAGACAGACAGAAAGACAGGCAGACAGACAGACAGACAGACAGACAGACAGACAGACAGACAGACAGACAGACAGACAGACAGACAGACAGACAGACAGACAGACAGACAGACAGACAGACAGACAGACAGACAGACGGACGGACGGACTGACGGACGGACGGACAGAGGAACATTACTAAATCAACTCAGAAAGTGTTTTTGGAGCCAATTGGTAAAAAAAACACACATACATACATTCAACATAATGAAAAATGTATAAATGTTGTTTACCCTTACACACAATAATAATAACAGTATTTAAATAAATATGGTAAATCCAACAAAATGGTCAAACAAATTTATGCATGTTTTTTCATGTCCATATATGGAAAAGGTCAAAATATATACTACTTATGTACATATTTTTAGTTTTTAAATAAATTCATAAATATTCATTTATAAAAAAATTATTTTTCATAAATTTTAAAGTTATTTATTTGGAATATAAATAAATATATAAAAAATTAAGGTCCCTATACAAGATTGATGGCTAAATTAAATAGAATAAAAAAACTGTTTAAAACATTTTAACTTAAATAGATAGATAAACGATCTCTAATCGTTTACTTTTCCCAAATCTATCATTAACTTGCGTTTTACTTATTTCCTTTATAATATGTTTTTTTTTTTTTTGTAAAGAAGAGAGTAAAGGACAAATCTTTTAAATCTCTTTCTTCTTTTATTAAGCCATAGTCTGTTTCTTGTTCACAGTTTGTCAGTTGTCAGTGTGTAATTTATTAACTTCTTAACAATATAAATAAACAAAGTCTGTCTAAAATATAATCCTAAATAAATATTATTCCAAAATATCTTACATGCAGTCAATCCAAAAAATACACATACTTATTTTCACTTACATACATACATACATACATACATATGTAAGTCTTCTATATAATATCAAATCAAAATCCCTTTTAAAACCCAAGAAAAACATTTTGATTATTTTCTCTTTACTGTTTTTATATTTTTGCTTTTTTGTTTAATACATCATAGTATCAACATTTTTGGTCATCATTATCACTAAATACATCCATTAATCATTTGCAAATGTCAATAACAAGAACTTGTAGTTAAATATTTTTCGAACACTTTGATTTTGCTGGTATTTCCTGTTATGAGATTAAAAGAGATTTTTCTTCTTTTTTCTGACGTTATATTTTTGCTATACAAACTTAGATTTAATTTAGTTGTGGGTTAGAAGGTGAAAAGAAATTTATATTGATTAGTTTAGGTTATAGAATAACTATTTGTACCGTACATCATTATAGTGGGGAGGGTATTATGCGTTTGTTCTTATGTTTGTAACACTCAAAAATATTGGTCCTACATAAACCTTTAAGTATACTAATCGGATTAGAATCATTTTTTGCGTCGATTTAGTTATGTCCGTCTGTCTCTTTGTCTGCCTGTCTGTCCGTCTGTGTGTCCATGTAAACCTTGTGAAATTTGGCACATACTATTTTTTTGATCCATGGACGAAAAATGGTTAAAATCGGTTTATTATTTAGCATAGCCCCCATACAACCGTACCCCCCAAATAGAACTTTTGAGCTCATAAATATGTTAAATATTCTTGTCTTGATGATACTGCTGATTTTTGTAATGATCGGGCCCCATTTTACCCTATATCCCATGCATAAGTAACTGATGTAAGCGCAAATCCCTCTACCAAAATTTATAAGGAAAGGACCATATTAACCCCCTGTCCCCATATAACCCATCTTTTAGAAAATTTTGTCAACAAATTGTTTAAATATTTCTGAATTAAGGTAAAAAATAAATTAAATTTTTTATTATTAAAAAAATAATCAAAATTTGTTACATAATCACTGGTGTAGGGTATCATATGGTCGACCATGCCCAACTATAAATTCTTACTTGTTTTATTTTGTGAGATGATGGTTTAAAAGAATATATGAAATCAATGAATAAACGAATAGTTTATATCGTTACTAAAAAATTCCCTTTAAAAAGGTTTAAATAAATGAATAGAGTTTTTTTTTGTAAAAACTATTAAGCAGTTTTGTTAAGATTTTATTAAAAAAAGCTTAATCGAAATAGTTTAAATTGTAAGCTTTTTAGAAGCTTTTTTATAAAAAGCTTCTCAGAGAAGATTTAATAATAAAGATATATTTATTTGTTAAATGTTTATAAGAAGTTTTTTGTAAAAGTTTTCTAAGAAGACTTTAATATAAAGAGAATTTATGATTTTTTTTAATTTTCTATGAAAGCTTTTTGAAAAGCTTATGTAAAGCTCTTGAATAAAGTAATTGTTGGAAGCATTTTGTATTAATCGTAGATTTTATGTTTGAAACCTATTTTTTCTTAATATACTCTAAAATATTTTTATATTGTTAAAAGAACTCAAATAAATATCTTAAATTCATAATAATAATTTTGTATAACTTCTTTAAATTATCTATAATTATATTTATTCACAAAGAAAATCTGTTTCTCCCTTTTATTAACATCGTACTCTCTAAAGAACCTTCTACGTAATAGCCTAAGGAAACTGTCCTTTCCATTAGAATGACTTAATATAAATATATTAATTTTCTTGGTCATTTTGAAGACCAATTAGTTTTAACTCATTTTCATTATCATGTTACGAGTGGAATAGTAGAACATTAATAACATTAATAATAACAAGCAACATCATAGTCATCGTCAGTTAAAGTAATAATAACAACAAGAGCATTAGCAAGCAGTAGCTATAATAATCACTGAAAAGCACAGCTATAAACATCAATACCAAAGTTTTAGCATCATGTCTGTTACAGCTATCGCTGCTGCTTGTAGTATTTAAGTATAAAGAAAAAAAACTAGAAAATACAATAGAGACCTACAGAATAGTTTTTATAGTTTGAGTTTTATTTTTCTCTATTGTTGAAACTTTTTCAGATCTGATGTTGTTGCTTGTATCTGTAGAAATGATGGCTGCTGCCACCGTTATGCATCATTTATCATTTGATGAGCTTTGACAGCACAAAGAACATTATTCAAACATTATACAAATAAAATAGATTGCCTGCTCATACTCGATACACACATATAAAATTTTGTACAGACAATCCTTTATAATATTTGTACTATATATAGTCTATTAAATACCCAATAGATCGGGGTGGCTGTACCGACCTAGTAATTTTTTAGATCATTTTAACATAGTACTTGTTATAGAACGCGACCCTATCCTTTGTAATACCTGCGCTAAGTATTTTTACCTACCAATCTCAGGGTTTGGGTGGAGTTCTTGTATCCTTCCGAATGTTATAAGAAGGTTGTTTGAAATTCAAGAAATTGTGTATCTAAATATTTCAGATTAGTTTAGCATTTTATACATGGAATATGAAAGAGTACACTTCACAAATAATGATCACACTAAAAATCGAGTCAACAAGATGAGTTTAAGACTTTTTGAAAAAATACTGAATAAAACAATACATTGACTCCTTATAAAACTGTTGGGTATTATTTATGTTTGTTTCAGTATTTTATTTATTTGTTTGTGTGTCTGTGTGTTTGTCTATTTATTGCTTTTGTTCAAATTTCCCTGCAACAAAGTTTGATTCATAAAATTAATTTAACATTTTAGCTTTTGAATTCTTAATGGCAAAATGCTTATTAAGCAAAAAAAATAT